AAAGGGTTACTACAACCTTCGTTACATCCTGCTGTTGCTGTTCTGCGTCTTGCGGTTGAGTTTGGTTTGGCGACATCTCCAGTCCTATCTTGATATGGCACACGAAAGGATTGAAAAGATGAAGAAAGAAACTGGACGAATCACTAACGTGGAACTGCAGCGAAAGGTAACAGAATCTTCAACTCTTTCATTCCCAAGATCTCATTAGTAAGTCTCCTTACTGTCTGCAATGCAATTCTTGTCATGTTAGTTCGGAGAATTTGTATTTGGTCAACTAATAATACCATAATTGATATTTTTCATCACCCTCATCACTTGTCTGGTTGATACTTTATTGATATTGTAAGAAAGTATTCTTTCTTGGTCATTCACGCGAGCGATACGGTTCTTTTGGGTTTGAAAAGAGTCTTTTGTCGGTGACAGTGACTGACGTTTCGATAACCAGGGCAGAAGGTATCGTTGGAATCAGTTGAAAAGTTAAATTCGATCAAATTTTACAACTCTGCCTCCTAGAAATTGGTTGTTCAGTCTTGCACCTGAAGTTGTTGGCTCTGGTTGTGTTTTTGAGTAGTGATTGATCAGTTTTTTACTGTTAGGTTAGATCGTTCAGTATGATTCTTTCTTTATTTTGCTGCAGTAAATATTTCTTTTTTAGAATATTGTAAAATTTTGTCTTTTCTTTTTCACAGGTTGCGCGCGTGTTCTACTATCTGTCTGCCGCTGCCCTTCAATATCTGGCGCCGACTCTTCTTCTTCTCTTTTCCGTTCTTATGCTACGAACTCTCGGTGAGTTGAAGGTTGAAGAAAACAGATTGCATATGAGTAACATTGAAAAGCAGAGGCGTGCTTTTTTATTTCGCCCATTTCACCCTAACATCAGAAGTGATATTCTCCACACTGGTCTCTCTTCAAATCCTGTTGTAGGAACAAGGAGAATTTGTTTGACTATTATAAGGTTCATAGCTGGATTGGTGATCATTTCCTTTTTTCTCATGACCTTTACATTTGATTCAAGGTTGACACTGTACGGAGAAATTAGATGACAGTCACACTTAGAGGTTAAAGAGTTAACGTAAGATGACTTAGGCTCATAAACAATTTATCCTGGGTTATCTCCTTGCAGGTTGTTCTGACTGGAACAGTAATCCTGTGGGTGCCTCCCGAATTCAGTATTCATCTTTTATATCAAACAGTACCAGAGAAGCAGCGCTAAATCTGCGGGCAGTCCTCACACCTGCTCTGTTCCAGGGGATCATGTCGTACATGGTTTGGTGGTTGTGCACCTCATGGCTCATTACTACAGTTTTCGGAGTTGTCTATCTAAAGATTTTTGAGGCAAGTTGATCAAGGTCTTCCGTGATCACGAAAAATGGCGGAAATTCTCAGAGAGTGAGCTGCATCGTGGAGAAATGGGACGAGAACGAGGCTGAGGTTGACATGTTATGGAAATGACAAGTTTTCCTTATTTGGTGCCGTGTACGGAGTCACTTCCGCAGATCACGAGAGAATAGGGGAACTTATTATAATTAATAAACCTTTACGTTCCTCTTCTGTTTCTGAGGACTCGTGGAAACTTTCCCATGTCCTGTCATTCTTGACATAAGAAATGAATCAATTAATCAGAGTTTGGTTGTTTGTTTGGAGTGCTCAGACAAACTTATATGTGTAGATGCGTGCAAATTGCGTTTTTTTTTTCTAGCTGATTTGGAATGGACTTTGTTGTGGGTAATGAACGCCGGTATACTCGCAATTTTAACGGAAAAGTAACGCCATAAATGCTCCAAACCAAAGTTTCTCCTTTTTTTTTGCGCCTGTCGGCCCAGTGAGACGTACTCCTGGTTGAAAAGTATAATGCTTATAAATGTGTTGCCGAGAGAAGTAAACATGTCAGTAAATTGAGCAGACACATCTGGTACTTTCATTTCCTTGTACTCCTACTATTGTCCTTCCTCCCTATTACAAAAACAAAGCTAACTGATAGCTGAGGCTCTCTACGAAGCCAAACTTTCGACGTGGGATACTGGGATCTTTCTAATTCAAGTGGAAAAGCGTTTTGTCCCTTCAAACGCTGCTGTTTGGCTCAAGTGTTGAACGTTTGAAGTCCACAACCTAAATTGAATTGCAGTAGTTATCTGTTCTGTAAATCGATTATTTCGCGTCAAATGTAGCCTTCTTTCTATCACGGTCATGTCGCCAAAACGCAAAGTCCAACGCAAAACAGAAAAGTGGATAAGGTAACGAGAAGGTTTCCATTGGAAAGAACTGCATATAACTAGTTGCGCGCGCTACTGTTCCTCATTGTTCACGCAAGAGGCGCGTCCTACCCAAAATTCTTGCATCGAAATGTAAAGATTTGGAAAAAGGCTAGTTTAAGAAAGTGAGCCTGGTAAAGAAACTGAGGACAACTATTGACTCGCCAAACAATGAGCAGCCAATTTCTCCAACGACCGAAATGTCAAAAAATGACAGGCCGCAAAGGTCAGGAGTTTCTCCCAGCCGATTTAGCTGCTGCATATGCGAGTTATCATGATAATTTGACAGAGCAAAGAAAGCTGGAATGGAAGTTACATGTAATTGAAATTGAGACAAAACTTATGAAGCGTGACTACCGAATGCAAAAAGGTATACTTGAAAGAGAGCTAAAAAAAAACGAGAACGATTTCTGGAAGTGTCATCGGGTATTCTCCGCTGTAAGCTTATTAACTGACTCTGATTCCTTTAAGAAGGACTTGTACATCGGACCCAAGCCAACCAAAGCAAAACTTCCTCGTAAAACTCTTAAGAGATTAAGTCACCTGGTGCGGAGCTTACAAGCCGAGGAAGAAATGGAAATTCATTCAAGATTTGAGCGGTGTGCTCGATATGCACGAAGAGAAGAGCTTCTTGGTCCAGTCCCAAGTTTGATCTTGAGTGACGAGGTAAGCTCTGATTCATTGCAGCTGCGAGATCTGGTGGAGATCCGCAGCGAACACTCAGCAAAAAGCCGGAATAACTCGGGAAGAATAAATAGAATTCGCTCAGCACCATCAAGAGTCGAGTCTAGAAAAGCAGTAGGGGAAGAATTCGGTCGTGAAAGTCCACTGAGCAATATTTCATTGAAAAGCTCATTGTCAGAGAAACCAGTTGAGACCTTTAAATCCGTCACAAAACTTGATGACATTAGCAGTATAAGCCAATGTGAATATAGAGTGGAACCATCTATAAGGCTTGCTTGGGTGGAGAAAGAACAAGAACAGGAAATGCAGAAAGAAGTGATCAACAGTACGTCTAATGAAGGAGTAGCTGTACAACCGTGTGTCCATTTCGATGATTCGGGGGAAAGTTCAAGGGGGCAACCACATACTTTGGAAAGTAGCATTGAACAGTCCGCTGACTTTAATTTGCCTGTTCATGTGACCTCGTCTCACCATCGAATAACAGCTGAGAGCTTAGGAAAGGATCTACCGGAATCGAATCTCGAAGAATTTCAGCCAAAGGAAGCCGAGTTTGAAAAAGAAAATGTTTGGGACGCTGAATTTTTTCTGAGTGATCAAACTCACCAAGTGACCTCTCCAGCGGAAGAACGTCGGAAGGTAATTTCGTTTGATGCCATGAGTACAAAAGGTGAAGGTGAATCCGCATCCGCTGTAGGAACATCGTTGATCAAAATCGCCCAAGAATACTGCAGGGAGCTTCCAACACCTACTTCAAATGACTTATCTAAAAATAAATTGTCTCTGAAACCGGCGCCAGTTAAGAAACACGCGTCGAAACTAGGCAATGAATCTCAATCTAGTAATTATAAACGCGAACAGTTTCAGCGTGGAGATGTTAAAATTCCAGATCGGGCCCCATCTTTACGTAATAAGAACGTTTTGAAAACAAAGATTTTCGAGTATTGCGCTCACGATAAAGCAAAGAGTAAAAGTAATGCTAATATGACAAAAGCTTTGCCGAAAAGTAGCTTACAAGGGCTGTCAAGCCATCCGAAAACACTCACACCTAGAACTCAGAGAAAACCAACAGAAAAGAGCCCGCCTGCAACGAATGAAACACCAAAGGGAAGGCAGGTGCAAAACAACTCAAACAGAAGAAGTGCTACAGGCAGAAAGTCACCAGAAAATGTCACAGAAATTAACAAAAAAATTGGGGAGGACGAGACACACTTAATCAAACACGCCCAGAAAAAAAAGAAGTGTCTCATATTCAAACGCAAGTGTCTGTCTGAACTTCTGTACAGTGGACAAATTCAGGTCGAGAGCCAACTAAGGAATAGAGTCCAAGGCTTCCTCAGTAACAAGGACGGAGTGGATGACTCTAGCGGAGGGACTGGAAAAGAGACATTCACGCATGTCGACATTGATGCTGTATGAGTTCGAACCAGAATTTAATATAGCGATTAATGACGCGCGGAATCTTACATGTCTGTAAAACGTTTATATGTAATAAAATAATAGCTTTATAATACCCAGTGTTCGTTAAACGGATCAATAAAGTGATTGAATGAGGTAATTTGCGGCCTCTCGTAACCAAAGTCGTATTCGCAAAAATCCCTAAATCTCATGCATCATCCCACACCATGTCTACATGTTTGGTACAATGTATAAAACTCATTTCAATAAAAGTAATTCGCCGATGCATTCTTTCTTTTCTTACCGGAGAGTTTTTTTTATACCTCTGGGTAAGAAAACCCCTTTATTTTGGCTTAACTTAGTGTATGTCACCCAACAGGGTGGAGATTTTTGGGTCACGCGTCTTAAATGAGTATACATTTATACTTTTTAGCTTCTCGAGTTCTAAAGTTGTGAAAAATGGAAAAAGCCGATATGAACGAACATGTGCTCATGATTCCAAAACACTTGCTTTAAAACTAGTCAAGTTGTTTTGGATTGATTCGCAAAATTTCATTTATTTTTCAATCAACGGTCACATGTTTAAAGAAGTGTGACTTGACGTGACAGTTACCGTGACATCGAGAACTTCAGAAAATCCCAGAGGGACTTGCAGGGAATTCAAGATGGCTGACTTACAGGAGTGGTAGTGTTTTCCAAATTTATCGATATATTTTGCACAAAAGATGGGTGAAGGGATTGCTGATTGCTTACCACTGGCACTACGATCTGTTGGGGATGCCATCAAGCTTGACTCAGACAACAGGATTAAGGTTTGAGTTTTAACCAAGCTCGCGAAAGAAATTCAAAATCACTTACCCGGATCAAAACACTTTTGAATAGCCCCCAGTTTGGAGTACTGAGATGCAGGTCAAATTTGATTCAGCTCTGCCTTTTTCTAACAGATATCTACGCAAATGCTCGGTATTTTTTTGAGCGTTATTTTTGTTATACCCGGAAGGTCATCATCTATATTGCCACGGTCTTTCGACGGTGACGTCATTGCAAACAAGGGATAACAATACGGTGGCAATAAAGTCATATCGAGCTTCTCTGGGATGAGCAGAGTGATTTGGAATACAGAGGGATGAGGGAAATCCCAGGGTATATTTATTAAAAGCCGTTAACATTTGGAAGGCCTGTTAAAAAATCAGTACCCCATTTGGTGGGTTGGTTTTTGTCAGCACCCTGTAACTGTCCACATTTCATTAGCTTCTCCAAAAAATAAAAATATATATATTTATTCCAAATCTCTTCTATCAAAAACCAGTCATCGTTGGGCAGGGGTTATAGCGCAGATTTAAAAAAAATATATATAACAATATTGGAAAGGCTAACCGTAATTCTACTCCAATTGCAGCCTGTAATAACTCCCTAAGAATGGGAATGTAATCCAAAGTTTGTCTTTACCCTTTAAATCCCAAGGTCTCATTAGTAATTCTCCTTACTGACTGCCTTATGATTCTCATTATGTAAGTTTGGAGAATTTGGTATTGGATCAATTAGTAATCCCATAATTGATATTTTTCTTTATTCCCATTACTTGTCTGCATGATATTGTATAGATATAGTAAGGAGAAATTCTGTCCTGGTCACGCATGGGAGTTAAAGGGTTAAGATATCCAAGGTGCAAGATCACAAAACTTAATAAATTACTTTTGATTAATTTAGAGCCACTAATATAAGTTTGTTGTATGTTGCGCGGTATGATATGCATTTGTCACATGTTACAGTCATCCACATAAATCCTTTAACATCAAGGGCATGAAGATTTTGTTGGCAGATGTATATTCAATACTTCTGACATGATTTTATACTGCATTCATTTTTAAACCAGGAGGCATACTGTCAGTATCTCAGTTGCATCATCTATATATCACAAGTTCTTAAGGATGATGCTTGGGACAAAGGTATATCCTAAGTCTCTATTTTACTTAACATCTAAGTGACAAGTTAAAAAAAAGATCTGCACTCTACTCTCACAGTTACAATTTTCTAAATAAAATCAATTCTGGAGAAAAAGAAGTTAAAGTTAATTTCTGTACTTGCAACAAAGATAATAGTGTTTTCCATAAAGGATTTTCAATGACCGTTTATGGGTCTGGAGGAAGTTCAATGACTGTTTATAAGTCTGGAGGGAGTGGAGAGTAATCAATGAATATTTGGCTGTAATGACTGTTAACAGATCTTTGCATGTTGAGGTCATTAATGCTCTAGAAATCTTGAAAAGTTTTCTTCCAGTTTATTCACCCAAAGAAAAAACTACACTTTAGGATTAAGGTGGAGAAGGAGAGGCAAAATTTGCCACCAGCTAGGAAAAGATAAGTTAACAAAATATTCTACCACCAACTGAAAAACATATTGACTTAAAGATTTTATTTAATATTTACATCCATTGTGCCTCTGAATTACTGTAGACCTCCAATTGGTGTACAACAGGGACTCAGCCAAGTTATTCCGTATGCTTCAGCAATGTCAGGAGAGAGCTTTGACAATAATATCTTCTTTGGGTAAGATCACAATCTTGTTAGCAATTTTGAAGACTCATTGCAAAAAAACCAAGCATAGTTTAGATATGGTACAATTGTGGCTTTCTTAGATGTCTTGAACTAAAGAGGAATATTTTTTGAGAATAATTCTGAAAATAAATGTCATCACTTGATGCTTGTCATTCCTTTAGCAAATAATACTTCAACAAGTCAAACACCCCCCACTAATCAAATACCTCAGCATCTTCACCCTTCATCTGAAGGTTTGCCACATCGCTATTCTGACAGTCAGGTTCCAATTCCTGGCCAATCACCTCAGCATCAACTGGCACCACAAGATGTGACTATTCGTAAGCTGTCTGACACAAATTCTCCAGCAGCAACTTTGGCAAAACCCACAGCTGATGGACACCTTTATCTACCATCACCCCCTGGATCTCCATTACCTCGTCATCGTCGGTGGGTACTCAATATTTGAAACTGATTTTCAGTCTTAATTCCAGAAACATTTTCTAGAGAACTGTAGTTTTAATTGTTATTAGTTTCAAGTTAAGTACAAAGGAAATAATTTTCATCGATTCTCCAAACATGTAGCCAAGTGATCATGACAAATAATTTAGTTGGTCCGTTCAACCTTCTGATCAAATAAAAGATGAAATTGGTCTGGGTAGAAGTAGTGGAAAGGTGTAACAGTTTTGTCTTCACTCGAGATTTTTCTTGTTGTTCAGTAATTGAAAATTGTTGTTTTTATTTTGTGGCAAAAAGAATAGGGAGAGTGACATCAGTCTATTGTTTGATAAATGATAACCATATCAACCTTCATTTCGGTAAATTGGGCCACTCAATATTATGTACGAAAGTAAGAAAGCTTCATAGAAACAGTTGCCGTTCACTACAATTGTACACTGTACATGTTTGATTTATGATTCTCTTATCCCTAGAACTGGTAGCAATGATCCTTTGGAGAAAGCTTACACGGAAAATAAACAGTTGATACAAGCATACAGGACAAGAATGCAGAATGCAAACAAGGGGGGAACAAACAAGGATATGATTTCCCGTGTATGATAACTTCAATAATTATAAAATGTCATAAATCCCATTCTAAAATGGTTACAATTTATCATTTTCCTGCATTTCTATTAAAAAGTTCTCCTGGCCTTGATCTCATCTGCTAAATTCTATTAGCAGATGACTACTTAGCAAGCCAGTAAAGCATTCTGGGCTCCCAAAGTGATGTTGACCCTTGGACTCCTAAGAGTCAATATCACCCCCTGAATCACACATCGTGGTCATGAGAATAAAGGAAATGATCACCAACTATATACTGAAGCTCTTGATTGTTAAACAAATTCTCCTCATTACCTTAGGAGTTGTGTACAGAACAGTATGAAGAATATACATACTGATGTTGGGGTGTAAAGGGTGAATGTTATGTTATCATGTGGCACTCTGATTGAAAATTTATTGTTGGGATGATGTGACCCTCTACTGAAGTGTGAATATTCTGGAATGCAAATCACCCAGGCTTTCAAAAGACCTATATTAGTATTTTTGAAATCTATATTAATTTCTCTATGAAGTTTGGTATTCAAGCTTCAGCAGGTACTCCTTGATAGCATGCAAAATAATATTTTTAGTAATTGTTTGATATTGGATTCTAGACCACAGTTCTACGAAGCTTACAGGGGTAATGAGACTGCAGTTCTCATGTACTTTTTTACTGTTTTGCAGAATCTCAGTTTAATGCGAAGGATGTCAGAAAACCTTGCCATTGAAAAGGCCAGGGAGCAAGCTGTATCCTTTGTCCATTTTTAATTTTATCTGTACTTTTTGTGGCAAAATCAAAGTCATTTATTGATAGCACATAATGAAATATGCACATTACCATTGATAATGCTGTAATTTTAATGTTACATACAACTTTAACTTCAAGATAAGATAAAGCAAAAATTGTTGGAGCGACAACGAAGATTGCAAGAGGAAACAAACAGGTGAGAAAGCGATGAACAGGTATCCTTTTGTATGAGTGGTTATCATCTAATTTCTCCCAACAATATCCCCACTGAATCAAACATTTAGGTCATGAGAATAAAAAAAATTATTGCCAGCTTCAATAGTTCTTGATCGTTAAACATTTTCTCCTATTCATATCATATAAAACTCACAGATAACAGTGTGGAGAATGTGAAAACTGACCTTCGGTTGCAAAGGGTTAATGCCTTCTTCAGTAACAGCCTGATTGTGTTCGTCATGTAATTAAGTCATTGATGTGTTACAGACGTCTTGGCCCTGCAGTGTATTCTACCAAGGAACAGCAAGGACAGCGTATTATTTACACAAAGATTTTGGAGTTTGAACAAGAGACCGTAAGTTGGAAAGCATGTGTCACCATATTTGAATGCATGGATGGAAGTGTGCTTCATTTATATTAAATACTCCAAAAATTTACATCTCGTTTAATATTGTATATAAAGTGACACCTTTTCCGGTGCGCTTGTTTATTATTGCAATGTGTGAAGTAGGTTTTCCACTAAGACTTGCAACATAACTGAAAAAGCCTCTCAAGAGAATTCAAGATGCAACTGGTTATTTTATGTTTCAGTTTTTTTTTTCGCCTGTATCTTCGATTTCACGTGTCTTAATATGTAGAGATAAGTAGCTATTGTATATTTCATCATTTTGAAGGTGTGGCCGAAACTCTTACGGAATAGATTGAAACTTTTGCCAGAAGATTCCAAGTTGATCAAGGAAATAATAGCTAAGATTTTCAGGTGAGACTTAAAACTCTTTAGTTTATTATACATATTGTCAAGTTAATTAAGCATTAAACCGCACTTTCCATTGGTTTACCGGAGTAATAACTAGGCGGGACGTTGGGAGAACACGAGTTTGTAAATCACGAGCCAGAGGCGAGTGATTTGCAAAGTCTTTGAACTGATGATAGGTTTTGACCAATCAGGGCGTACGCATTATCTTAGTAATCACAAGACTCTGAAAACTAAGGGCATCTGGTCATCTCTTCAACACGGTATATTTTATCCACAAAAAACCTGGTTAAGAAATAAAAATTGGCTTACACTTGCTGTACAATAAGTTCTGCAATATGACATTGAAACTAGCTTAATGTTTCCCATCATACAGCTCATCGGATCATCCTCTTACCCAGTTTCTCCTCCAGTATCAGTATTACGTTTACCGGAAACTGGCACCTCTTGTGAAGGATGTGGGATTTCCTGATGTAAAAAGCGGAAGAATAGCTACCAGCGAAGGAACTGGTGCAGTTATAAAGGAATCTCACTCTGACGAGCACGTGAAGAAATCGACAATCATCGATGATGAACAAAACCGAGGGAAAAACCTTAACACGCTAACTAATGCTGGAGGTAATTTTGAAGGTCACTTTTCATCTGAGACTAATATTGAGGAAAGTTTGAAAGGTACGAAAGAAATTGTGAAAGGCACCGCTGAGGAAAAGGAACATGAAACAGTCGAAATTCATGATGCAGCGTTCGTAAAGAATACTAGAGATGGTGGTAGTGTAGAAAAAGGAAAGGACGGTGATAGCGAATGCGCGAGCTCTGGAACTGATTTAGCGAAACTCAAAAATCTTCTTGGAGATGATCTTCAGTCGGAAGTCTCTGACACTAATACTTCGCAGCCTACTGCTGTTGCGACATCAGGTGATGCGGCATCACTGGAGAGTTATTTTGAGGAGCTAGAGGACGATATGTTTGGCTGGGATAGCAACGACGATGAAAGTACACACACGGACATTGAAACTGTTGATGGAAGGAACACACAGACAACGGCAGATGAAAAGACTTGCAGTGAACTTAAAGAAGATACGAGTCAAAATAGGGAAGAGGATGCATCCCATACTGTCGCGAGATCTGTTACGGAACACAGTCAGGTAGACTCTTCAGAAGTCTGCGCAGATACTCCTTCACAACTCAGCGTGGACTCAACAAATAGAAGTGATGCGTTTGCAAACAGTGATCCTAATACGCTCCTTGAAGAAGGCGTTGAGTTGTCAATAGCAAGTAAAATCGGTAAAACCAGCCAAGACCAACCAAGAGACGATACAAATCCGTTTGAAGCAGATGAGTTTATTTCAAACCAAAAAGTTGAGGGTAATGAAGAAGAGACAGCAAGAAACGACACCAACGGGGAAAGTCAACAACCGCACAATAGTCTGAAGCCGCTAGGACAGGTTGGTGAGGAACAGATTGCTAGTAATAACACCCTAGGGGACGGAGATATCCAACAATCAGTGGAAAGTTTAAACGAAGGAGAACAGGTTGGTGAAGAACAGATAGCTATTATTGACATCCACAATGATGGAGAAATCCCGAGACCAGTAGAGAAGTCAAATAAGTATGATACTATAAGTGAAGTCCCATTTGATCAGGCAAACAGTGGAGATGAAGAGAACACACAAACACCTCGACTGTCTGGGTTTGTTAGTGAACGAAGTGGCAAGGAGGAAAATGGTAGCACAACTCCTACTACAACTGCATCTGACGAAAGGAGGAAACAATTGAAGGACGTTTTGGTGGATGTGAGATTTTTTCTTGGTATGTTTGTGCAGCAAACACTCATTTAATCATAACCAAAAGCCATGTATGATTTAGACCTTACTCAAATACATGTGGTTGGTTAT